CTGATGCTGGAACTTTTAAAGGAATAGGCAGAGAGCATCAGTACAAGTCAGCACATACTGTGTAGACTCATAAATGTATGAACATTTTTTTGCAAATGTAAAAGAATACTGTTCAGATGTCATGACTTTTTTAAAAAAAATCCAGATCAGCCTGTATGATAATGCCTTTGTATCTGTCTCTGGTACACCCTCTGTTTAGATAGCCAGTTTGGTGTCGTGGTTAGGAACGCGGACTCTAATCTGGGATAACTGGGTTTGATTCCCCACTCTTCCACATGTAGCTGCTGGTGTGACCTTGGGTCAGTCATAAAGTCTTTCAGAGCTGTTCTCTCAAGAACAGTCCTCTAAAGAGCTCTCTCGACCCCACCTACTTCACAGGGTGTCTGTTGTGGGGAGGGGAAGGGAAAGGAGATTGTAAACCGCTCTGACATTCCTTCGGGTAGTGAAGGGCGGGGTATAAATCCAATCTCTTATTATTATTATTGGAAATACTGTGTGTAATTCTGGTGCCCACATTTTCAAGCTGAAAAGGTGCAGATAATGGCAGCTGAAATGGTTGAGGGACTGCAGCACCTTTCATATGAAGAAAGATGATGGATTAGATCCTACAAGCTGTTCCACCAATGCATGCAAGAGCCTCTTTTAACCTTAGAAAAGGCTGTATCATGAATCATGGGATCAGGGCCGGCTCTCCCGCTAGGCCAACTAGGCACTCGCCTAGAGCGGGAGGCCCTGGATGGGGCGGTGGGCCCTGGATGGGGACACCGAAGTTCGCCTCCCCCCACCAAAAGCCAGCGCCAATCCCCGAGGCTCCCCTCCGCCACGTCCCTCCACGTCCTTCCTGCCTGCCTGGACCCTCTCCAGCGACCCATGGCCAGCAGGGAAAGGCACCAGCAGAGCGGGCGCATAAAGAGGGGAGCACGTGCCGGGGCTGCGCTTGCCGCCGCCTGCCAGGGGAGCCAAGGTCACCGGAGCTGCTGCAGGTGCCGCCAGGCAGGAGGTAAGTGTGCCCTGCTGCCGGCACCTCAGCCAGCAAGCCAGCCCTCTGCCCTGGGACCGCATGGCCCTTTACCCCCTCGCCCACCTACCTCTTCCCGCCGCGGGCACTCGGGTGGCAGCAGCAGCTAAGGAGTGCTGCCAAGAGGGGGTAAAGGGCCGTGTGGTCCCGGGGCGCACCGAGGCGGAGGGCTGGCTGGCTGGCTCAGGCGCCAGCAGAAAGAAAGCACCGTGGCCTCAAGTTTGCGCACGGGAGGGAGGCACACAATCCCCCCCCCCGCAGACCTTCAAACCAATGCATGGAAGTTAGGAGCTAAATGTGTTCGGGTTCCCTTTTCCCATGTTATATAACACATTTATAGCACGGTATGGGTTCTCTCATGTTACTTCGAGAGAACCCATACAGTGCTATAAATGTGTTATTTTTAAAAAGTGAAGTTCAATTAAAAAAATTCCGACTGTGCCATGCACCTTGCTGAATGACCTTGTGGCGGTCACATACTCAGCGTATCCTATAAAATAGAGGGGGGAACAATGTAAGCCTCTTCGGGGAGAAAGCTGGGGTTTTAATGAAGTGAATAAATAAAACTTTCTAGCACCACGAGAAGCTAAATCATATTAAGCGATGTTATGCTTTGACTTACACATACGTTTGCTTGGTTTCCATACCTCCTTCAAAAACTCACAAGCCTCTTTCAGTCCTCGTGTTTTTAGTGCCCCTGCCTCACATATGGGGAGAGGATGTTACCTCTGATCCTCCTGATATGTGTGATTGCCATTTTGTGTGAGTAGGGCAACAGATGTAGTTTTCATGCTTTGGTATGTGTCAGCAACAACCCATGAGCGATTTCTCACTAGAGCTGCCTCGCAGCACAGCGCCGTTTGCCTCAACACAAACATGTCAATTTCAGACCCGAAGCTCCGGGGCTGCATTTTGACTCGGGGCTTCGCCCGATTTCCTCCGCAGTTTCGTGATCCTGGTTTTTGAGGATCATGAAACTGCGGAGGAAATCGGGCAAAGCCCTGAGTCAAATGCAGCCCCACAGCCTCGGGTGTGAAATTGACATGTTTGTGTCAGGGCAAACGGTGCTGTGCTGCGAGGCAGCTCTAGTGAGAAATCACCCCATATTTCTCAGAGGGTGGTCATGTTGGCCTGCAGTAGAACAGCTAGATTTGAGTCCAGCAGCACCTTAGCAGACCTACAAGATTTCCGGGGCATGGGCTTTTGAGAGCCAAGGCTCCCTTCTTCAGGGAGCATTGCCCCTCTTCACATAAAATGGTGACTGCACATACTGGGAGGACTGCATATTAGCATACTGTCTTGGTATGTGAGGTAGGAGCATAAAAAGGTAATGACTCGAAATGGCTATGCACACACATAGGAAAGGTAAAGGGGTAAAGAGATGTTTTGTGTTCTGGGAATGGAAAGGCGAAGAGATGTTTTGTGCTCAGGTACCTAAAAGTGGAGCCCCAGTCAGTTCCCACTCCCACTCCCAGGTATTTTGAAAGGGGAAAAATGCCATGGGATTATACCACCACAAATTAGAGGAGGGAGCCTGTACGTTGAATGCTGTTCTGCCCCCCCTCTTCCATTCTTCCCTTCCCCAAAGACAAGGAAATTGCTGCAGAGGACATAGATTAAATGGAAGCTTAAAGTCTCTGCTATTTTGCACAGGACTAATAGAAGCTAAGATGAAGCCAGAGGAGATGTAAATGGTTTCTTCCTCTTCACTGCTGTTGCTGAGGCGATTGGAGCACTGCTGTTTTCCTGGTGACTAGTGCCTGCTTCAAGCAGGTGGCTCTTTGCTTCAAGTTTTTCACTCAGCCCTGACCTGGATAGCCCAGGCAAGCCTGATCTTGTCAGATCTCGGAAGCTAAGCAGGGCTGATCCTGGCAAGTATTTGGATGGGAGACCTCCAGAGAATACCAGGGTCAGGAGGCCAGAGGCAGGCTATCAAGCCACTTCTCTGAACGTCCTCTGTGCCCCAGTAGGAGTCGCCAGAGGTCGCCATGACTTCTAGCTATTTAAGTTTCAAATGTGATATATGAAAGCACTTGCCACATCCAAAGCCCCTGCATGCAGAAAGAGCCCAAAAGGGAGAAGGGCGCAAGGCAAGCATTCTTCCTGTACTGCTAGCTTTCCCCATACTGAATCTTTTTGCCATGGGAGAGGTGGTACCTGAAGAACATTGGAAGAGGCAATGCTTTATCTACATTCCAAGATGATACATTCTCACCGCAACTTTGGCACTCTTGCCTTTAAAAAAAGATCTAAATAAATTTTCAAAACACAGTGAATCAAAACTAGCATAGACAACTGAGTGAAAACCTTTTTTTTTTTTTTGGTATTTTTGCATGTCTGTGTGTGTGTGTGTGTGTCCGTGCCCAGAAGGCCCTGTCCACATGAGGGGTTGTGGGCCTGATTGGGGCCGGAGCAAACGGGCGCGATCCCACTGCAACATCTGGGCAGTGTTGTGCACCCGTCCCCGATCTGGCCCTTCCCCCGAAAAAACGCATCAAAAATGAACCAACTACCAAGGTGGTTCATCCACGACAGCTGCATCAATGCCAGCCATGGGATCGCCGGCCCGTCTTTCTGCCGGCGCACCCTCGGCTCCTGCCTGAACTGCGCATGCTCAGACATGCGCAGTTTGGTAGTCTCCCGTTCCCCTCCGTTGCTTCCCCCGGCATCTGATCGTGCCGGGGAGGGAATGCGCCGCGGCTCAGGGGATCAATGTGATCCCGCCGTGGCGTGTTTCTTTTGGTGCGGCTTTCAGAAGCTGCACTTCAGCCCGTCCCTTTCCGCCCCGTGTGGCAGGGGCCCTTAGATTAGCTGGTCTACCAGCAAAGTGGGTTCTCAGTATTAAATAGCAAATAAACTAAAAACAAAACAAAACCCAATGTTTTATTTTCTTGAAAAAATCTTCAAGCCTATATTATTGCATGGGCTCATCCAATTTGTTAACTGTTGCTATATTTTGTATGCAACTGTTTTATTCGTGTACCAAAACCTGAAATAGCAAATTATCAGTTCTCTTAAGTACCATCCCTGTGGAAACCGGGCATTTTACCTGGATGCTGATTATATCCTATCAATTCTAAAAAAAGAAATAATCTGCATTTTTAAAGTCTTGCATTTAAAGGGATGTTTGTACCAGAAAAAGGATGCAACTAACAAACATGGCTAACTTTATCCAGTAAGCTCAGGGTGGCCTACATGGTTTTTCCTTTCCCCTTCTATCCTGACAAGCACCCCGTGTGGCTGAGGGAATATCAGGAAGTCTCAGGTTTACCCAGTGAGCTTCATGTAAAAGTAAGGATTTGAAATCTGGTCTCCCAGATCCTAGTCTGACTGTCTAACTGCTACACCATGAAGCCTGAGAGGTTACAGGTCTTTTGACTGCATGTCTTTATTCGTTGTTTTTGGGGTTGAATCCTGCTAGTGACTGAACCTCCTTCTCGTGCACGAAGAGGCGTGCTCTGCTGATGGAAGACTCCATTGCTTGCAGAATGGATCCACCTCTTAGACTCGTGTCATAATGTTTAACTGACCATAAAGAAGTGTGAAAAGATTTCCCCCCCACTCCGCTACAAGCATTGATCCAGTGTTTTAGTTTTGTTTATGTCTGCAAACTCTCTTCAAAATTTGAATCCCACATATCCCTTTGAAAGTCAAAAGCTAAACATGCATGGACTAGCATGCCCTGCTGATGTCCTGCATGAGAACGGAGGACATATGGAATAAATCAAAATGCAGGCATCATAATAGGGTCCCATGGGAAAGGGAGCCCTGTAATATTGTGTGATGACATGGACTGTCCTTAGAGATGGTGTAGGGAGGGGGGGCTAGTGTTGTCGCTGAGTCATGCAACAGGAGGGGGCTCCTTTCACTCCCTCAGATGCAGCCCCTCATCTGATGTCACAGATCTATTCTCCACCCGGGAATTGATTAACATTCATAGGGAGAAAAGGAAAGTGGTGAATACGCAAAAGAAAAGGGAGGCAAGCTGATTCAAGTTCCCACTGCAAATACATTGCGAGCAGGGAGACAATCAAGCACAGAATGGCTATTTTATAACTGGGGTCTCTGACGTATGGCTGAGTGTTTGCTGGCAGAGATCTTTATGGACCAGTAGGCAGATCGCAACTGAAGCTGACAAGACTTTGTGCATTTTGGAAAGGAGTGTAATCTACTGTAGTGAGGAACAGAGCCACTCAATCACTGCAGCGGTAAATAAAGGACAGAAGTGAAGGAAGAAAGAAGGAAGAGAGAGGAAAGTCTTTGCTGGGGGTGGGGAGCGAAAGCATTTTTGGTGGATGGTATAAAGCCAGCCATGGAAACTGCAGCCGAGGAAAATACAGAACAAAGCCAAGAGAAAAAAGGTACCCAGCGGTCCAAACAACAGACTGTTTAAATCTTTTTAAGAACCTGCAGTGAAAAGATTTAGGCTGTGTTTGTCATTCTCTTTAGAGCAGCATTTAAACAATCATTATGGCATCTTCTAGCTTCTGGTGATTTTTATTCTGTATAACTTGACAGCAGATTAACAGAACAGGAATCTATCCCCATCTCTCGCCTGGCATTTCAGCCATCTCCTACCCCCCCCCCCCCGCTGCCCCAAAGTCTATACTATATTTATAGCAGTTTAGAGAGAATTAACTGGGTTTATATGTGTTTGTGTGTACATGCATGTCTTATTGAAGCATTTTGAGTCTCAGGGGTTTATTTAGGCAATGCTTCATTAGAGTGACATGAAGCTTTCTGCCAATGTAGAGTTCACATTCTATTGAATTCTCTCCCTTTTTTTGTTGTTGTTGACTATAAAGCCTGGGGAAGAGATCTACTTGTGCAATCACAGTTTGCAAAAATATGTGCATCATGTTTCAGAAGGGACAGATTTAAATACAGGGAAGTAGTAGGCAGGCTTGAACTAGAAAGAATTTGAATATTGATGGTGATCTATTATTCTAAAGTTCAGCACCATACCACATAAATTTATCTAGTTAGGAACTTCAGATGTTTTTGATTGCTTTTCGCCATAGCTAATGTTTGTGCTGAAATTTTGCAGCCATCTACATTTGTGTAAAGCTAATAAGCATATGCTACTGAATACAGGATTGCTGCCAACATGAGTAATTTCTTCTCTGTGATACAGTTCTAAAACCTGGAGGGACAATTCCCCCCCCTACTGTAGGCTATTTTAATATTGCCTTTATAACTATCTGACGTGCTAGCTGCCATTTAATCTGCTTTAGTTTGACTTTAAGTGAATTGGTACTTTAAATATGGAGTGAAAATATTAGGATCTATGTCCTGTACAGTATCTGTTACTCTATATGGAACAGTTTAATCGATGGAACACAGAAAGAGCATTCCAAGGGGTATGCAGGATTTAGTAAAGTGAAATTTAGCAAGCATGCAGACTGTGGTATAATACCCTGAGATTCTGATCAACGCATTACAATGATCAGAAATCAAGTTTTGCAGTACCATTGACACACTGTGTCTATGATGAGCATCACTCTAAAGGTTTTAACAGAAGTTGTGTTACAGGTAACTCTTACAATTTGAGATTGTGGAAAGACTGTGTTATTACTGGTGTACTGGACATATATTCTTCTGCCCTGTTACACTCTCCCCCCACCCCACTATTGCAATCAAAGCTAATGGCTGAGATCTAACGAAGCCGCTTCTGCTTCCTCAAGTGGTTTACGTTAGGCCAGTATAAATTTTTGTTGCATTAACAAATGACCTCTGTGCCATATTGCAAACTGCTTTTGAGGCTTCCCTGTATTTCAAGAGAAGTGTCCTGCATTTTGGGAGGCTGCTGTTTGAGGAATGCAATCCCCCCCCCCAGCTCAGTGAGTTTCTTTCGTTATCTTTAGATCATTTTTTATTTGATAGAGTGGATGGAGTTTATTTAGAATATATTTTATTCAAATATTTCCCCGGTTGCTTATGTGGATACAATTTACTTAGAAAGCAGGAAGTAACAGATATTGTAAGGTTAGTCTTAAAATGTCTTTTGTGAAGCTGGTTATTATACATAGAAGAATTAAATGAAATAGTATTTACTTGTTTTTTTCACCTATATCCTTCCTTTCCCCCCAGCCAGGACTGAGCAGCCCAAAGTTATTCTCTTTCTCAGATAAAATTCAGACCAGTCTCTGCCTGCATTAAGTAGAAATGCAGGAGAATCTTGCTTCTGTTTACAACCTTCAATTAAGGTGGCTGGTCTAAAAGCATGCCTTAGTCCCATTGAAATCAACCAGACTTGCAGTCAGTGGGCTTGGAAGGGTGCAGCTCTTCTTAGAAGGGCTCTGGAAATCACTTAAGCGTGCACTAAAGTCCCATTGATTTCCTCAGGATTTAGACATGTATATAAAAGTTCTCTGGATTGTTCCCTAGATTTTTTTCCAAAGCATAACACATGGAAACCTTTAATGAATACTGCTTGCATGTTGTGTGTGCTCATAGTATTATTTACTGGTTGCACTGCCTTCCTGGTGGTGACACTGGTGTTTCAGGGTCTTTTTCTTAACACAACAGGGGACTGACTCAACATGGGATTAAAATGTATAGCATTATTCTGAATGGTCAAAATTTGAATGGAATTTCCAAGAATGTCATGCAAATATTTCTGTAGTGTTAAGACTGTAACAGAAAGCAGACATCTAATAATTACATTTTAATAATCTGCCTGAACTGTGGCTTAATTTTTCATTCTTTTAAATTCAGTTTACTTTAGTGCACTGAACCTGTTGCTGTTTGACCAAAATACTAGATGCTGAACCAGGGAAGCATAGTAGTTTGATCACTGGCTAATTATATAGTTTTGTATATTGTAAACATCCACTTGTGTACCAATAAAGTTTTGAATGTCATAGTAGTTGCACATTTTGGTGAAATCCAATGGGAATGCTTCCATTGATTTAAATGGGAGGTAGATAGAGCCTCTATAGCTTTTTTGTGATCTTGTGGAGCACACAGCAATATTGTTACAAAAATGTTTTATTTAAACAGCCCTGGAAATGGTAGTCTTTCCTTCCTGCATATATGTGATATAATATCAAGCATCTAGAGATACCCAGAAATTGCAGATTATCTTAATTTTAATAACTGCATGCTGAAAACATGTGTCTAATATAGAACACTTCTGCTTCCCTCAAGATATAACTGTGTTCTCATTGAGAAAGCTGGGCCACCGTCACGCAAACACCTTGCTTTATTCTGAATAGGCAATATTTGTATCTGAGGAATAGTCCACAAACATACTGTCCACGGGATTGTTTATCAGATATTTTATAGAGCTGCAAACCAGACTGGGTGCATTTAAAGCTGAGGGTTTATAAATTATTCTAAATGGCAGGGTTTATCTTGCAGCCATTAAATTAACAACTGGGAGGGGTAGGTGGAGTTACTGAGATGGAACAAATGGGTAAACCAAATGCCATTTTATATCAGCAGTGGAAGGAACAGATCTTGATACATAATAACACAGACAAGATGTTTGCATTTAAATTAGGACAAAAAAAAAACCCTATCGAAAATAAAATACAGTTGGGGAAAGCAAAAAAAAAAAAGGTTGGCAGCATCTGAAGTAAAATATTAGATTACTGTAGATATTTAACAACCCAGAAAATACTATTTTTGCATTTGAACAATGTCTTAATAATAATCTTGTTATTGCTCAATAAAATAAGTGGCAATATTTGAACATTAAGTCGTAGGGTTCCCAGGGGATGGTTTTTTTTTTTTTTTGCCAAATCCAGGTTGGGAAACGCATGGAGATTTGGGGATGGATCCTGGAAAGGACAGGGACCTCAGAGGGGTACAATGCCGTAGAGTCCACCCTCCAAAGCATCCATTTTCTTCAGGGCAACTGATCTCTATAGTCTGGAGATGAGCTGTAATTTTGGGGGATTCCCAGGTCCCGCCTGGAGGCTGTCATCCCTATTAAGTAGGCATTTGTGGGTAGAGGCAGGGCCACAAGTGGTTGAAATGGAAGTGCCAATAAGGAACTAAGAGGTTTCAGATTAGGAGTTTTTAATGATGTATGAATTAAATTGCAGCCAGTTTCGTATGGTGATCATATATTAGGTAATATCTTAATTCCTCTTCCAACAGACTTTCTGCTTATCCTCCACCCCTGGAGGCCCCCATCTTGCACCCCATGCAGAACCTGAGAGTTTATAAGCATTGGAGTGTATGTGGGATTGTTAGGGATGCCAAACTCCAGGTGGGATCTTGGGGATCCCCCAGATTTACAGCGTATCTCTAGACTACAGAGATCAGAGGGTGGACTCTGTGGCACTGTACCCCACTGAGGTCCCTGTCCTCCCCAGGTTCCACCCCCAAATCTCCAGAAGTTTCCCAACCTGAATCTGACAACCCCCTCCCCCGCTGGTGGACCTGGAAACCTTGGGGGTTGTAGACTGGAAATGCTAAATACAATATGTTGATCATTGCTCCTGTGCAAATATCTGTACGTTTCTGTGAGACTTGTGCAAAAACAATACTTGATAGGTTATACCTGTTACCCCAAACTAGTTGAAATTATAAATATAAATGTGTACATGAGGGGGCTTAGTATGAGGAAATGTGCTAGTCTGAATAGAGCACTGTTATAAAAATAGCTGCAGGAACAAAATGTTCCCAAACAAAAATGTACAGAAAACGTCATGTGCAGTGGTAGGCTGTCTACAAGGATCTTCTTTGCCAATCGGAAGGCTAGCTGGTGCAGATCACCTGTTGGCAAGGATGGGGAAATGTTTCATACGCCCTTCCCAAATAGGTGAATGACTTCGTTGCCTTCTTTGGCTGTGCAGGAGCACTACCTAACCTTCTGTTGTGGATCTAGAGAGACCATATGTATGGAAGAAAATCTGAGTCCAACAAAGTTTAATTCTGGGTATAAACTTTCGTGTGCACGCATACTTCATAAGATACTTTGAAACATTTTCTCAAGCCGTACTTATAGATTGGGGAGGGGGTGTTAATTGCCAGGAAGGGCTAGTTAGAGTCAGGATGCATAAGTAACTGGGAGATAATTATAACTGAGATTAGATTAAAGCAGTTGTGAAGACCTGTGAATGGCAGCATAGTAGCGTGCAAATACAGGAGTTAAGAAACAGATGTGAGAACTAAGTTTGGGTCCAGTTGCACCAAGACCAACAAAGTTCAGTTCCGGGTATAAGCAAGAACTGAGAGACTTCACATGTGTAGATGTATGTATGAAAGAAAGAGAAGGCAGCCCCCTTGCTGGAATTCCCAGTTGGTGAAAAATTGTGCTAGATGTTGGCATGTGTTTATGTTAGTGGTCCTTTTTCTCTCTTCCTCTGCTCTGATTCCTGATCACAGTGGTCCCTTCTGAATAGTATTC